AGAATAGCAGGAATATAAGTGTGGACCAGTAATTTGGGGCTGGAGTATACACAGCCTTGAGTATCTGCCTAGTCATGTAGAGTCACGGAAAGTTTGCCAGCAAGGAAATGTGTTCAGGCCTATGCTTTAGGAAAACAAATCTGCTAGCTACATATCTCATGGATAGAAGCTGCTAACGGTTGTAGGCAGAAAGATCCTTTAGGAGACTAATACAGTGGTTAGGGCAGGAAATGATGAAGGAAATAATAGGAAAATGGAAAAAAAGATATGAAATAAGAGACACTACAAATGTCACAACTTGATAAGTGATTTTCAATAACCAATTTCTGACCCACAGAAACTGAGGGTTTGCTATTTTATGCCAGCAAATTTTACAGTAATGTATAATTAAGTTTATTTCTTCATTACAAATGCTAAAAGTGGTTGTCATAGAGTTATTTTGTGATTTTAACAGTTTTATTTTTTAAGAAGTCTCTGGGAAACTGGAAAGAATATAACCTGATAGACAGCTCTGGGTTTGTCATTCTGCCACTTACTGGTTGTGTGCACTTGGGTAAGGTACTTATTTTTTCTGAGTCTCAGAGTCATTATCTAAAAAGATTAATAATATGAACCATAGAGGGCCATTCTGAAGACTAAATAAGCTAGTTTTTTAAGTACTTAGCATATCCCTGGGATATATTAGGTGCTTAGTAACTGAAAAATCTCTCCCTACCCTACATGTCCTTATCTCATCTGGCTTTTCTCTGAACTGTCTGAAATCTATGGTCTCAAATGGTCAATGCATTTTTCTCTTCTCAGATACCATTCCATTTTAATGATTTGAATCAGAAGAAATACAGAATCTTGGGCTCTCCCCAGTCCTATTAAATTGGGAATCTGACTTTTAAGAAGTTCTCCAGGTGATGTGTAAGTTCACTAAAATATAAGAAGCACTGGACTAGTAGATATATCAAGGCTAATATGGCCAAAACAGAGCGTACACCCTCTCCGAATATGGTTCATCCCACCTAAGTAAATGGCATCACCCAGGTGTTCATGCCAAAAACTTAGGAGTCATCTTTGATAGCTCCCTCTCTTTGTCCCCTTCACCTCCAATCAATCACCAAGTCTACTTCCAAAATATATCTGCATTTATCCCTTCCCATCTCTGTACATGTCTAAACCACCATCTTCTTTCACCAGGATTCCAGCAGCCGTCAACTTGCCCAGTTGACACAACAGGCACAGTGGCTGGGCCCCACCATATTTTTAAGGACCCAAAAACCATTGTAGCTTATTTTAAAATTATAAGAAAAAAGAGATGTTCCAATGTATATTAATAATTGGTCTTTATACAAGCAGTCATAAAACATAATTTTAATATTGTTTTTATGGAAAAAGGGGCCTATGAAGGTGAGTGTGGAGTCCATAGGACAGGTAGTTTTTCTCTGTCATTATTGCATCTGTATAATCCCTCTACATTCAACAGATTGAGTAATCTTGTCAGGATTTTTTTTAAACTAAAGTATGATTTCTATATTTCTATACAGTATAATACACAAATTTTAAGTATACTCTGTGATGAATTTTTTTTTTCATTGTTCAGGAATGTAGATTTTTTTTTTACATGAACAACATTATGTTTACTAGGCTTCCCCCTTCACCAAGTCCCCCCATTAATCGTAATGCCCCCTTTCTTTTTCCCCACCCTTATCCCTCCCTTCCCACCCAGCCTCCCCAGTCCCTTTCCCTTTGGTAACTGCTAGTCCATTCTTGGGTTCTGTGATTCTGCTGCTGTTTTGTTCCTTCAGCTTTCCTTTGTTCTTATACTCCACATACGAGTGAAATCATTTGGTACTTGTCCTTCTCCACCTGGCTTACTTCACTGAGCATAATACCTGATTTATGTAACCACCACCCACTCAAGAAATAATCCTTTTCAAAATTTTATTTCAACTCATAACACTCCCATATATAAAAATCATTCTGCACTTTCCCAATCCACTTGGAATAAAATCCAAAGTCCTAAACCTGGTTTACAAAGCCTCAGATGATCCAGCTTCTACCTATCTCATCTCTCAAACCTTTAAATTCAACTTGTCAAGATGTTCCTGCCCTGAAGCATTTGATCTAGGTGTGCATTCTCTACATTCTCCTAAAGCTGGTAAAGATTCATAGGACTGACTATTTATAATTTAGATCTCAGTTTAAAGGTCACTTCCTCAGACGCCTTCCTTGACCAGGCAATCTAAAATTGCACCCAATCACCTTTTATCCAATCACCTTAATTACCTGCAGAGTGCTTATCATTTCTTAATATTTTATTAATTGACTGGTTGTTGTCTGTCTTTTTCTCACTGGACTATAACATCCTGTTGACAGAAATCAATGCGACCATTGTGTTTAAGAAAAAATTTTATTAGTGTCCTACTGAGGACCATGGCCAAAGAGCAGCCCATCAACCTGTTCTGATAAACTGCTCCAAAGACCTTTGGTTTGGGAATATCTTTTTTCTTTGTTAAGCTTTCATTGATATACATTCTTACGAAGGTTTCACATAAATAACAATGTGGTTACTACATTCACCGATATTCTCAAATCCTCCCCATACCCCATTGCAGTCACTGTCCATCAGTGTAATAGATGCCACAGTCACTACTTGTCTTGTCTGTGCTATGCTGTCTTTCCCATGATCCCCTCCACACCATGTGTACTAATCATAATACCCCTCAATCCTCTTCTCCCTCTCTCTCCACCCGCTCTCCCTCATCCCTCCCCTTTGATAACCACTAGTACCTTCTTGGAGTCTGTGAGTCTCCTGCTGTTTTGTTCCTTCAGTTTTGCTTTGTTGTTATACTCCACAAGTGAGGGAAATCATTTGCTACTTGTCTTTCTCTGCCTGACTTACTTCACTGAGCATAAAACCCTCTAGCTCCATCCATGTTGTTGCAAATGGTAGGATTTGTTTATTTCTTATGGCTGAATAGTATTCCATTGTGTGTATGTACCACCGCTTCTTTATCCATTCATCTACTGATGGACACTTAGGTTGCTTCCATATCTTGCCTATTGTAAATAGTGCTGCAGTAAACATAGGGGTTCATATGTCTTTTTGAATCTGAGAACTTGTATTCTTTGAGTAAATTCCTAGGAGTGGAATTCCCAGGTCAAATGGTATTTCTATTTTTAGTTTTTTGAGGAACCTCCATATCGCTTTTCACAATGTTTGAACTAATTTACATTCCCAACAGCAATGTAGGAGGGTTCCCCTTTCTCCACATCCTCAACAGCATTTGTTGTTCTTAGTCTTTTCGATGCTGGCCATCCTAACTGGTGTGAGGTGATATCTCACTGTGGTTTTAATTTGCATTTCAGTTTGGGATTATCTTGAACACTTTTTTTTTAACTACAGGAGGTGGAGGCAGAGAAGAGGTTGTGTCAATCAATACATCAGGGCAGTGTCCTAAAAGAACAATGAGTATTCTGATGCCATCTATGTGAGAGATGAAGCAACAATGAGGATTACTAATTATTCTCCTAAAAAAATTCTACTAGGGGAGTAAGAACCAGACCAATTTATCTGTTTTTGAGCATTCTAGGCAGGTTTGTCTCTGGTCAAGGATGAGGGTGAGGGTATGGGATTGTGAGTCTTGTGACACAGGCAAGCAAAACTGCAAGGCATCCTCACAGCGCAGCATGTACCTTCTTGGCTGACTTGGGACCTCTTAGAGCTTGCATAGCTCTTTGCCTAGGAGACCACTGTGGGGAACAAATAAAATTTCATTTTATTTTACAGTTGGTTAGAGCAGTTTTGTTCTCCGTTATACCCCTAAATGCCAATAACAGTGCCTGACACATGGCGGGCATGGAACAAAAATTTTCATTTAATTAAATATTAATATATGATAAATATGATAAACGCAGCATCAGCTAGAAGAAGCACAGATAACACTCTGCCGTTGATATCATAACGGCCTGAGTTTGATCCTAGTCAGCAAAATGAAGGATTAAATGAGGTAAAAGCTCATGGCAGTTAAGCATTCAATACCTGCTACTTTCTCATGCCTCTTAAACATCCCCAATTAATCCTCCTAATACAGAACCTTGAGGCTAGATTTGCTTAACAAAATGTGACTTAAAAAGAAACTCAGGAAATAAATCACAACTGTTTATATACGCTTAAAAAAATCAGAAAAAAAGATGTAGTACATATACACAATGGAATATTATTCAGCCATAAGAAGAAAACAAATCCTACCATTTGCAACAACATGAATGGAGTTAGAGGGTATTATGCTCAGTGAAATAAGCCAGGCGGAGAAAGACAAGTATCAGATGATTTCACCCATCTGTGGAGTATAACAACAAAGCAAAAACTGAAGGAACAAAACAGCAGCAGACTCACAGAACCCAAGAATGCATTAACAGTTACCAAAGGGAAAGAGACTGCTGAGGGTGGGTGGGAAGGGAGGGATAAGAGGGAAAAGGGGCAATGATTAGTACACATACTGTAGGGGGGCCACGGGGAAGGCAGTATAGCACAGAGAAGACAAGTAGTGATTCTATAGCATCTTACTACGCTGATGGACAGTGACTGGTAATGGGGTATGTGGTGGGGACTCGATGATGGGGGAAATCTAGTAACCACAATGTTGCTCATGTAATTGTATATTAATGATACCAAAATAAAAAAAAGACATAGAAACAGCGTCTATGTTTATTAGGATAAGAAGCTCAGTGTCATTTGTAGTAAATGATTAAAGTTTTTTTAAGTTACAAAAAAATACGAATCTTCCCTTACAAAAAAACAATTGTGGGGCACCCATTCTGGGTTTCAGGGCTCCTCCAATTGGTATCAACTAAGTGGAACCGTCCCGCCCCTTCCGCTTATCCCACCGGCAGGAAGTCTGCGGATCGTGAGACTCCGCCTCGGGCTCAAAGTCGGCCCCTCGTCTGCACGTAGGCCTACGTAAAGCGCGAGGGGTTTCGCGACAACCCAGGCCCCACCCTTTCGGCCAAATGTCGCGCAGGTCTTTCCGTCGGACGCCGCGCCACCTCCTAACGCTGCCCTACGAACCTAGAACAGCGCCGCCCCGCCTCCGGTCTCCCTCCTACCCCACCACCCCCTCCCAGTTTAGCGTTTCCTAGCCCGACGCGCCCGCTGTAATCACGTGATTGCCTCATCCGGGTCCTTTGCGTTTTCTCTCCCTCTCCCAACATGGCGGCCTCAGGTGAGTGAGCTGCTGAGCGCGGCCAAGGACCGGGCTCCGAAGCTACTTTCCGAGCCTGATCCACAGATTCCCTGGAGTTGGGGAATGGGCGGCATCGCTTGCCTTCGTATTTTGGGGCTGCGGCAGGCGGGCGGCTTGGCCGTGTTAGGTTATCGCCTTGGGATGTTTGGGGGGAGGGGAAGGACACCTTCCCTTCCCCCTCACACCCTTTTCACCCCGAGGTGCGCGAGGTTGGTGTGGGGAGTAATGGTGGACTCTGGCTTGAGCTGGATAGAGGAGGAGGCGCAGAAATATCTGCGGGAGGCGGGAGGCCTTCTCATAGACGTGAAGCACTGTGCCCGCGTGGAGGAAGGAAGGAGGCGGTTGGCGCGCGGTTGGGTGCACACTAGCCTAGGTCTCGGAGGCGCGAGGCCGTTGCGGACGTGAGTGCGGGCAGGGGGATTAAAGGGGGAGGTCAGAACCGAGCGCATGTCGTGGTGGGGCGGGAGAAGGCGGCGGGACGCGTGCGCGGTAGGGGAGGCGAGGGTAATAGAGACGGGCGCGCCTTAACAGCACGCGAGAGCCCAGATGGGAAGGTTTTACGCATCTGTATTGCTTTCATTTATGTCCTTCCACTTTATGCTCTTCCCTGGTTGGAGTATATTCTTTCAAGGGTAAATGTGTTAAATTTGGAGGTTGAAGCTACTAGAGTTATGTGGAGGCGAGGAATCCAATGTGCGCCCACGTGTTGGAAGAGGAAGCAAGGGGAGACCTAGATTTCTGGTCTCTCCTTCTTTAATAAACACGTAATTACTGAGTGCAAACCATATGCCAGGTACAGTTTTAGGTATTGGAGATACAGTGGTGAGCAAGATCAGATTCCTTGACAGTTTCCATTTTGGTTTAATCATAGCTAGTGTTAGAGTTTGTTTTTTTTTTTAAGAAAACTGCACAACTGTTGGGTGCTTTTAAACATTTCGGCTGGATGGAGTTGATTTCTTTTGTAGACTTCATTGGGGGAAGGATAATCACTGTCATACAAGCTTTGTATTTCCAGTAGACAGCAGTGAGTTGTGCGACATTTTGTAGCTTTAATTTTAGGGGTGGAACTTTTTTATCCTCCCTGGCACGATCTTGTATTCTACAAAAGGTGGTATTCCTTCTATATCTGAACACTCAAATTACTCATCAGGAATTTATCTTCTCTATTATTACACAGGGAACTGTATGTCTTTGGGAAATGTTGAGGGAATTGAGGTGTATTTGAACAGAATACCTTTTATTGGTGTAGCACTTGACAGTGGACTGTATTTGTGTGGTCTCATTTAATCCTCCATGAGATAATGTCAGCAGATCGTGGTGTTGTCTCCCAGCTGAGGCCAATGAAATTATTTGTTCAAGGTCACACTGCTTTCAGGTGGCAGAGCAAGGTTCAAATCTTTGAGACTCATGTCTCTTTTCTATTATCAACCTGGAAATAACAGGGTTGGCATTCATGTCATCCTAAGTTTGGGCAGCATCCCAAACACTTCATCTGAAGTAAAGTACTTACATGTTCTGGGTTTGCCGTTTTGACAACTTTGTGTCAAAATTTTGTGAAAAGCCTATATTCCCTTTCTCTTTAATTTAGTGGATTTTTAGAGGTGGAAAACATGTTAGCGATCTGTATCCTTGAGTGAAAGCTGAACTGGTTAACGGGATTTGTTTAGTGAGGTCCCCTTCTTCTGTTCTTCCTTGGAAGCCCTGGTCTCCTTTAATTTCTGTCCTCACTTTGAATCTTTTCCAGTTCCACTGATTTTGTTGAGTGAACAATTTTCCCAGATGACTGGATTAATGAGACTTTAAACTTCTTGGATTTTCAGTATACTTGATGGTGCCAAGTGTCTTGTTCAAAATAGATCTAATATTTTCTTGGTGAAAGTACATGGTAGCACCTAATAGACCTTTTTTTCTGTTACATGAAACCAAAAAATTCTTTGCAGCAATACCAGTATCCAAGTGACCCATAACTGCCCTTCAGTAACTGAAAGTGTGCCAAAGCTGATTACTGGGTCTACTCTTCTAGCTCGAGGGATTTGTTATACACAGGTTAACATTCTTTTGAGACTACAGTGCCTTAAAATTGGGAAGATCATACGTATGCACACAAGGTCTTTCATTTCCATAACACTTCAAAATGCCATTATATTTGACATCATGTTTGCGAGTAATTTTTACAGGGAGAAAATGGTGTCTTTAGATTGTTCTCATACAATGCTAACCCTTGTACTTAAACATAATTCATATAAAAAAATTATATGCTGTTCACATACAGGTTTCCCCAGCAATCTGAAAATAGAGCATTTCCTAAACCAAAATGGCCTGTGTAAATTGAAGGAGGAGTTACCATTAATTTATGTAGAAAAATTTTTTTGTGTTCCCAGAAGCAAAAAATAACAAGGTTTTCTGATGCCTTAGTACACATCTTCCTAACAGATGCTCACACGCATTTCAGAGCTCTGGCAACTTACCGCTCAGATGCTGAATGTAATTCCTGGGGAAGGAGCTTGGTGGGGCTGCTCTTGCAGCGCAAGGGTGCGTGTTTCCTTTGTAACAAACAACACTATTTTCACTTTGCGTCTTGTTTTGTTGTAAAAGCAGAAATCCTCTTCAGATTTCTTTGGCTTAGGAGAACAGGTACTGCAGTTCCTTTGTAAAAGCAAAGAGGCAGGAGATGCACGTAAGAAAGCAGGGGGTTACCTGCACTGCTTATTTTCAAATCCCATCCTCTACCAGGCCAAGACTAATTTAGCCTTAGGAAAATTAAAGGGCAAATACAGAAGAGTGGGGTCAAAGTAAAAAATACAGAGTTTTTGTAAGTAATGTCACTTTAAAAAATTGTGTATGTACTTATGAAAAGCTTTGAGATAGGTGTAGTTTGCACACCATATACATATAGCTTGAGATGGAATACCCTACTATTTGTATTAGTCTCAGAACATCTAGAATTTATTCCCTTCGTGATGGGAAAAAGTGTTCAGAATTTTTTTAAATTTAACCAAGTGCTTATTTGTAATTAAATGTGTGTGTTTACATTTACAAGAGCACACAATGAAGTCAGTTTCTTAGACTTACAGTAGGTACTGCTATGGTCCTAAAGGCAGGACGATGCCCAAAACAAGAAGTTATCCTTGAATTCTTACAGCTCTTCTCTTACAGAGAAACTCCCAAGTACTTTGTAGTGTTTAGTAGCATGATATTTATTAGGCTTTTGCTGTATATATATATATATATATATATATACACACACACACACACACATACATTTATTTGTTTATTTATTTATGTAAATGATCAAATTAAGTGTCTGGAGAGTTAAGGAAAAAGTAATATGGCATTTTCCTCAGACTGTGTCAAGATGAAGAAATTGGATGGAGAAGAGGTCATGTAACTAACTGAACATGGGGGTCAAGGTGGTGGAGCTTGTAAATCCTGACTTAATCTTTATTTTCTGCTCTGCTGGACTATAGCAGTGAAGGTGAGGCCTCTTGAGATGATGCTGCATTTTATGAAACATCTTTTCACGGTTGGGTTCTAAACCACAGTATAATTAGTGTAGTTCTAGGCCACTCTGGTATTTGGATGGATTTATTGCATTTATACACTGTTTCTTGAAGGAAACATTTGTTAATCATTAAATAGTTTTTAAATATGGAGAATTTGGCAGGAGCCACTTTGCAGCCGTTTCTTCTCTCCCCTCCCCACCCCTCAACCACTAATCTGTTTTTTTGTGTGTGTTTACCTGTTCCTAGCATGTCATATAAATGGAATCATACAGTTTGTGGACTTCTGCTACTAGCTTCTTTTACTTATCATGTTTTCAGGGTTCATCCATATTATAGGATGTATGAGTACTCATTCTTTTTATTGCCAGATCCGTTGTATGGACATTACATTTATCCAGTCATCAGTTAATGAACATTTGGATTGTTTCCAATTTTTTGTCCATTATAATTAATGCTGCTATGATCTTGTACATGTATTTATGATACTTTCTGACTTTCTTAACCTATAGTTACTAAAATACTCAGTAAAGTAGATAACTCTATAAAATAAGTGGGACTTAGTCTGTCAGGAACTAAAATTAAGAAAATTTGTGACAAAGCCTCATCTGAATGTTAGGAGCTCCATGAATTCCCTTTCCTAAATAAGATATGCTGGTTTCAGAAAGATGTAGAAGTAGGGCTGCACTGTGCAACAAATAAGCTTTTTTTCAAGGTGTCCTCTTGAAATAAAGAACCAGCAGCCAATCTAGAGAGCAACATTTCTTTTTGTTTGTCCTTTTATTGACTGGTGTGAAAACATCACTTAGAACAATGGGGGTAGTTTTGTCTCACCCACCCAGGAGCTGTTGGGCTGTTCTTTGGAGGCGTTTTGGTTGTCCTAAGGTGAGGTTGCTACTGGCATCTGATGAGTGGAGGATAGAGATGCTTTAGACATCCTGCAGTGCAAAGGACAGCCTCCCATAACAAAGAATTACCCAGCTGAAACGTCAGTGGTACAGAAATTGAGAAATCCTTAAGAGTTACATTGAGTTGGATTTTTGTGTGTCTCTAAAAGAAATCCTGTTTGTTTATTAAGTCCATAAATGTATTGTCTCTTATTAAGGACTTGTCTACTTACCGTTCGGAAAAATGCTTTCTTTTTAAGATCTTTTATTTAACTTATATGAGTATATAAAGAGCTTCACAAGTACCTAGGACTTGTTCAATAAATTAAATTTATAACTGAGTCAGCAGGCAGTTAAGAGGATTTAATAAAATTTCTGGGATGTGTGTTTTTCCCCCCTTAGTCCATATTGGTTTGTCCTTAAGAATTAGGGACACTTTCTGTTTGTTGTGTAAGGTAGTTGCTTTTGTAAACAATTCGCATGATATTTAAAGAAAATGAAATAACCAGTTTGGTCATTGTGGCAAGGAGTTGATAGACATGGAGCATTAAACAGTGACTTGCTTATAAAGAAGAAAACACTTTTGAAATCTTAAACATGTAATGGGCCCAGATATTGGAGGAACAAAGGGCATAGAGGATTTAGAGAACATCATTTCTATCAGTTACTGGATAAAATAGAATGGATGGAGCAAACATTGGCACCCACTTCACATTTATCAGTTTTACTTTTTAAGGTAGTTCTTTTAAATCTGCTTATGTTGTGATTGAGTCATTGTTACTGCTAGATTTAAGGAAAAGTGACTTAGAGATGTTGTGAAAGAATTTGTCTTTCTGTAAATGAAGACTGTTTGTTATCCAACAGTGATTTCCCCACCAGAAGTGTTTGGAAAGAGCAATAACAGAATTAGAGGGGAGTGGGAGATGTATTATTTGAAGACATTCTCAGCCCTTTAAGTTTTATAGGCATGCTGTTTATTGTTCTTAGATTTTAAATAACATTAAAGGGGAGAGTATGAGACTTGTTTGTGAAGAGTCAAGGGGTGATAGTTGAGAAACCCTGATCAGGAAAGTTAATTTAAGCCAAAATCAGACCAAAGGGCAAAGTAATTCAAATTTTGCTGTTTTGGTATTAGATATGTATATAGAACCAAGGGGAAAGGGATACCTTAATCAAATTCTTGTAAGTTCTTGTTTAACTTGATCTCACCTTGTGGACTAACCACTAGTTCTATTTTTATTCTCACAGTGGTGACCAGACAGGTTAGTAACTGGGTATGTGCTGATGGTAGTAGGTTAAACTCCAATAAGGGTAAGGATCTCTAGCTAGCATCACACTTGTCCCAGCATTATTTTTGAACTAAAAGATAAAGAAAAGACTGTAGTGTGTAAGTGTGGTGTATATACTGTATAAGACAGTATATAAAGTATATGTGTAACACTGTAAGTTTTCTGCCTCAGAGGGATGCTTTATGTCTTGTTCAAATTAGGCCATTGCATATGAGATAGGGGCAATATTGATGCTATATGACCCAACCTCTGCATAACTGCTTTCTTTAAAAGCTTAGAACAGATCCAACATATAATCTAGTTAATCATAAATAATACTTTAAGAGCAGGATTAGTATTAAGTCACTTGCCCTTGAGAGAATCATGGAAAGTTCACATTCAAAACCATCTTTTCTCTCTATTACTACAGCCAAGTTCATCTGGTTGACACGTTGAGACCATAATACTTCAGGTTCTTATGTATCCAGAAGGCTGTTCATGACATTCATAGCAAAAAGGTCATCTTTATTTCCTGGAAGTTACCAGTGAGAAAGCAACCTACAGTTAGGCAAATGGTTGTGTCGTGTTACAGATTCTTAGTCCTCTTTGATTGAAAATGAGATAGAAATTGGAAAGTGAGGAGGAACTCACATGATTATAAAAACCATGAAACTGATCTTTGTTACAACAAAGCTGCTTTTTCCTTATCAAGTAGTGGCTGTTCTCAGGAGCCAGTTCTAGAACTTAAGTTAGTCCTTTCGTCTCTTCTGCATTAGCTGTTGATTGGTGCCATCTGAAATTCTGAGAACTAGACAAAGAGCTGAGATTAGTCCACTAAACGGGGCCAAAGATTTCATAACCACAAAAAATACTTAAATGTGTCGGTTCTTAAAGATCTTATGTTTTCCCTTTAGTGTCACATTTTCATATGTGGGTCAAGGTAGGGAACAAGATAATTTTGTTTCTCTAGAAGGCAGAGAGATACCACGTATATGAGTTACCATATGGACACTTTCAGATGGCAGTGAGTGCAGTATTTTACCATGGTTACAATAACCTGCCATAGAACTAATAGCAGGCTTCTTGGAGGCTGGGGCTCCTGTGGGAAGAACCCTAGACTTGGTGTCGAAAACCCTGGGTTTAATTCTAGCTCTGCTACCTAATACCTCTGTAACTTTAAGATCGCCATTTAACTTGAGGCTTCCTTTCCTTCTCCGTAAATTAATAGTAATGATTCCTACCTCACATGGTTCTCTTATAAGACTCAAACAATCCTTATGTCATCCAGAATATGTTACCAGATATAGAGATTTTGATTTATTTCTTTGTATACCAGGAACAAAGAATGTTTTAAACATAAATAGTTGCTAAATTTAAAATCTTGAATGATAATATGAATGAATATAGAAAATGTGTGTCCCTCTCCATCCCAGTGTTGAAAATCCTTCTAGACCCTTTTCCATACATAGGCATAATGTGTGTTTAAACAAATGACACTGATAACACTACATATTTTGCACCTTTTATCATTCCTGTTCAGTTTTCTTCCTGTCCCTGTATATTGTGCTTTCTTCTTATTTGTATCTGCATAGTATTCTTTCATTTAAATGTGCTATAACCAATCCTTTTGGTGGCCCATTATATTACTTTCTTAGTAAATACAAACAATAGTACATTGTACAACTCTTTAAATGTCTGAGTATTAGTGAATAATCTTTCTCTTGCCTTTTTAAAACAGCAAAAAAGAAGAATAAGAAGGGGAAGACTATCTCCCTAACAGACTTTCTGGCTGAGGATGGAGGAACTGGTGGAGGAAGCACCTATGTTCCCAAACCAGTCAGCTGGGCTGATGAAACAGATGACCTGGAAGGCGATGGTAATTTAAATTTTCCATAAAAATGCTTGGAATTTTTGTTATCTTCTAGAAAAAAACCTTTTTTGTAGTATTGACTCACATTTGTAATTTGAAAGGAACTTATGTTTATGTATTTCATAGAATGTTAGGTTTATACTAGAAGTGTTTATGGTAAGGACTGAAGTGATTCAGGAAAGCTTAGTGTTATTTCTGGCTCTTGCATATTCTCAGGATATTGTCCTTCTAAGCCTCATTTTCTTCATTAGAAAAGTAAGGACTAGATTCTTTCCTTTTAGGGCTAAGTTTTGTGACGTCCAAGTCAAGCAATGATTTGTTGTTAGTATGAAGATAGAGTGTCCCTGTGTAAACAAAAATAGTCTGAGGAAAAGGAACTGTAATAATAATTCTGGTGGGAAAATACAGAACAGTCTTTGAGGTATCATTTGGACAAACTCTTCCTTGAAGAAGTAGGAAAGAACTATATATAGTTACTGTATATAACATAAATCTTATCCCTCATTTTTCCTAAAAGTTTTCATTGCAACAGAGTGAGAAATATGTTTTGTGATCTGTTTCATAATAAGATAATACCATTAGATCATACTTTCCATAAGTGTTGATACCTGAAGTGCAAATTTTTGGGAAATATTATAGGGCTAGAATGGGGATGGGGGTAGGGGTTGGGGGGGTTGCCTTGTTTTTGTTTGTTTTTTTTAGTTTTGGTATCAATCTACAATTACATGAGAAACATTATGTTTACTAGACTCCCCCCTTCACCAAGTCCCCCCCACATACCCCATTAAGTCACTGTCCATCAGTGTAGTAAGATGCTGTAAAATCACTATTTGTCTTCTCTGTGTTGCACAGCCCTCCCTGTGCCCACCCCTCTGACATTATATAAGGCCTCCTTTCTTCTTCCCCAACCTTCTCCCTCCCTTCCCACCCATCCTCTCCAGTCCCTTTCCCTTTGGTAACTGTTAGTCCTTTCTTGGGTTCTGTGATTCTGCTGCTGTTTTGTTCCTTCAGTTTTTGCTTTGTTCTTACATTCCACATGTGAGTGAAATCATTTGGTACTTGTCTTTCTCCACCTGGCTTATTTCACTGAGCATAATACCCTCTAGCCCCATCCATGTTGTTGCACATGGTAGGATTTGTTTTCTTCTTATGGCTGAATTATTCCATTGTGTATATGTACCACATCTTCTTTATCCATTCATCTACTGATGGTCACTTAGGTTGCCTCCATTTCTTGGCTATTGTAAATAATGCTGCGATAAACATAGGGGTGTATCTGTCTTTTTCAAACTGGGCTGCTGCATTCTTAGGGTAAATTCCTAGAAGTGGAATTCCTGGGTCAAATGGTATTTCTATTTTGGGCTTTTAGCGAAACCTCCATACTGCTTTCCACAAAGGTTGAACCAGTTTACATTCCCACCAGGGGTTGCCTTGTTTTAAAAGGGGAGGATAATAAACCATAAAAAAAAAAAATACTTCTCTAGCCAAAAGGTAGAATATGAGAGTTGTCAGTAGTGGTTAAATCCATTTGGAGTGAGAAGGACCCAGGTCTGAATCTTAATTCTACCAGGTTTACCATCTTACTTATCTACCTGTGTGTGACCTTGGGCATGTTACTGAACCTTCCTGAAATCTGACTTCATTTTCTGTAGAATGGAGAACAACTTTACAGGATTGTTGAAAAGATAAGATGGGATATAATGAATATAAAGTATCTGGCACGTAGTAACATGCCATAAATAGTATTTTCCCATTTCTTTGCTGCATAAGGAATAAGTTAACAAGATGCTCTTAGCAAAAGCCTGGCCTTTTTAAAGGCCTTGAAATGCTTAGCAACAGAGAATGTAAATATTGAGTCTTTTGGATTGCTGTTCTGATTCTAACATTTCAGAAGCATTTTCTCTTTGTAATAAAGTACCCTTACTAATAAAACCCCACCTTCTTTATCTTTTTCTTTCCTGATACAGCTTATTTAATATGTGGCACTTAACCTTGGGTCCTCTCATTCCTCTGATTTTTTGTTTCCACTTTTCCATCCTAGTTTCAACCACTTGGCACAGCAATGATGACGACGTGTATAGGGCACCTCCAATTGACCGTTCCATCCTGCCCACTGCTCCACGGGCTGCTCGGGAACCCAATATTGACCGGAGCCGTCTTCCCAAATCACCACCCTACACTGCTTTTCTAGGGAACCTGCCCTATGATGTGACAGAAGACTCCATTAAGGAATTCTTTAGAGGATTAAATGTAAGTATAAAGGTTTTAATCAGTTAACTAGATGTGGAGGGTAGCATATTGGTACTGACAATCTCTGAATTTCTGTGATGAGAAAGATTCTGAGGTTATATTCTAGACTTCAAAGAAACATATGTAATTAAGTGGTATTTTGGCCTTTTGACTAAGAATGTTCTTACCCGACAACCAGTCTTATCAGCAGAATTAACAACCTTATTTATAACAGGATCACAAAAACCTATACCATTTCTCATTAAGAAACTTGAAAGGTGATGTACCCAGTTAAATTTTGAAAGGTGGAAAGGAAATTTCTCTGAACTCAGCCATTCTGCTAATGACATTCAGGCTTACATAACTAAATCACCTCTTACATTTTTTTATATGAATACACTTAACTGGGCAGATGTAGTTTATGTTAAAAGTTACTTAAGATTATAATCAAGTGTTCTATGAGCCTTATGTCATGAATAATGTAATTAACAGTGTTTATAGGCTTGCTCTAAAATCTTAAGGCAGAATGTTTAGAACTGATCTTTAAGACTCCAGAAAAATGAAAAAGTGATAATAGAGATGCTCAGAAGTCCATTTTTCCAAGCTTTTGACTTAAAAATATTTCTGGTGTCTTCGACATGTTTCCTTAAGACTTTAAATATGAAAGAATGAGTAACGGTTTCCAGTTCTATTGCATTTTTCTCCAAAGTCTTTACCAATGATAAGACATTTAAAAAATACATTCCTTCTAAAATGTGTTCCCTCCTTCATTCTTTATGTAATTTTTTACTTTGTTCCTAGATCCTATTCTCTTCAGTTGGCCACCAACTTCTGTAATTGGCTTTTCTGGTGTGTTTAGTTTTCACTGTCACCTATGAGTCTCCTCTGTATAATTACGTAGTACAACTAGAAGGCTGACATGTCTCTTACTTCATTGTAGTGGCCTCTTTCTTCTGCAGAATGTTAAATAACCTGTGGCCTGTTTAGGCTTTTTGCTGTCTAGAAGTGGTCTGTGGCTATTTCACCCTTTATGTTGTTCCTTTTCCTACTGTACTTATAAGTTGAGTAAAATGGAATTAAAAAGAGACTATAACAAAATCTATATCTCAGGAGCCAGAATAAAGTATCAAATCAGTGATGCAAAAGATAAAGTTGAATATATGCAAAAATAATAAGAAAGAAAAAGAGGTAACCACAAAGGGTAAGGAAACATATGGAAGACACCAGAAATATGGCAAGAAAATAGTCAAAACTATTTGAAAAAGGTCCTACAATTGGAAGTGAAAAGGGCATATCCTGTTGTAAACAACTGATAAAAATACCAGGGAATGTATTATGAAACTTTAAAGTAAGAATCCTGCAAACTTCAAATTAGAAAACACAAACCAGGTTACTGTGACTTTTTTCCTTTATTTCAAAAAGTAAAAATTCAGTGGTTTGCCATCTCAGCAAACCACTGAATTTATCAGAGGGAATAGGACTGTTGGGGGTTTACAGTCTAGTGTTTGACTCAGCCAAGCTATTGTTAAACTATTGTACAGCTATTATAAATATATGAAGACAGTAATATTCATCAGATAAGGTAAGGTCTCCGAAAAAAATCTGCCCGAAAACTCTTTCGCAAAAATAGAATTAAGTTTCTGATATGAGAATTGGAAATATGTATTAAAGCCAACTACCATGTAGGCATAAAGAGATGACTAAAATAAACTAAGTGTAGAATGAGGCAGAAGTAAAGGATACAAGGAATACTCTGAACTCATGTCAGTGTTTTTTTAAGGGTTATGTTCATGTTTAAATTGAAAGGGTTTAACGGGGCGGTACAGTGAGGTCTGTTCTTTTCTATCTCTTTGCAGCAGTTTTTCTCCTGGAGAAAATCAGGTTCTTGTGTATTCAGAGAAATTTGTTGCATGTACAGTGGTCAAAAAAAAAAAAAAAGACAAGAACACTGAAGTGGGAAATTTTTTTTTCCTTGATTCCTTCAGATCAGTGCAGTGCGTTTACCACGTGAACCCAGCAATCCAGAGAGGTTGAAAGGTTTTGGTTATGCAGAGTTTGAAGACCTGGATTCCTTGCTCAGTGCCCTGAGCCTCAATGAAGAGGTAAAGAAAATAAGAGTGGGGAGTTTGAGCTGTGATAACTAACAAATCCCATGTTTATCAAATGGATTATTTTTTAGGTTGGGTCAGTAGCTCTTTCAAAGATTTCTGTAATATCTGCAAAGAAAAGTCTGGACTGTATAACTGCAACACTTAACATTTTACATTTAGCAAGCCACTCCTCACTTTAGATTCACCAGGCCCCAGTAATTTCAGGGAGGTACTTAGGTAGTAGCAAATGATGGAAGGAACCCACTGCTACAAGTGCTACAAGTCTTCAATAGAAGCTCAATTTATTTGTTCATTCACTGCATTGCCTTAGCCACCGTGGCTTTGCTTTTTCAATTTTATTTTTTTATTATAATTTATTTTGTTACAACCTTATTTTATTATACTTAATCTGATAGATCAAGGCAGATAGAAAAATCATCTTCGTTAGTATAGTATTAAAAGACATCTCATAGTGATTAGAATTCAACCTTATCTAAGAATCAAAAAGGCTCTTTTCTCTCTTAATTCCAGAAACCCCTCATTTGTTGAAAGGGGATTTCCCATGCCATTGTGCCATTTTTTGGTCCAGATCTGCTATTTGACATTAAAATCAACACCTTATAAAATAGTTTCTCATTATTGAGTACAGCCATGATAAGCTGAAATAAATGTCAGCTAGGAATGATAGCGCTTGAGTTAAGCTAAAGTTCTTCAGTTTTTCTTCTCAGATAATTTTTAAAAATTTTTTGAACATACTAGTTTTTAACTCCTCGGTCTAGATAAGAAAAAGTATACCCATACAGTTGTTATTATCTGAAGTCTGTTAGATTAACTATTACCTAAAATGTCATGGGCCAGAGTTAAGTATTACTTAGTATTTGGGGATTTCATCATAGTGGTATTTAATATAATTCTGAGTGTTTTTAACTAAAATTCACTGTTACCCTTCAACTGTAGATTCTACTATGAAATGAGAAAAAGTCAGAAGTAGAATTAATTGGGTTCAAAATATGTGAATAATGATATGGGAAAGGGAAGTTAGAGGGTATCCTGGAGGAACTGGTTTAGCCAAAGGTATATTAAGTAAAACAACTTGGTTGTAGACAAGGCCATGTTTTATGCATTTTTGCTGGTGCATAGTAGGGAATTTATAAATGTTTGAATAAATAAATTGCTCTGGACCCAAATAATGCCTTTTATTTCGCTAGTTGTCTAGAATTGTTTTCAGTTTTATAATACTTGGTAAATTGCATTTGACAGTTCAAATGTTAATTTTGTTCTGTGAAATTTAGCCCTGTAAAAATAGTAAGATAATTGACCTGATGTTCATTTAAGCCCAACATAAATTTGTTGGTTTTAGGGGGTTATTTCAGTGTTGAAGTCTTCATAAAGGATTCTTTAGCCAACAAATTGGAATGTTGGCTAGATTACAGTGTTTTTCCTTTATCTTCCTTCCCCCAGTGCTTCTGCTATGCCCAGACGTTCAAGGTCACTCATGGGATTTGTGCATAAGGGGGCAAAAGGTTGGTTAATATGGTCCTATGCTCTCAGTCTCTAGGTAACAGGAGAATCCGAGTGGACGTTGCTGATCAAGCACAGGATAAAGGTAAGAAACTGATAGAAATTTTCCTGTTTTGTTATGGTCCTAGGGTGACAAAGCAAAGGTGCCCTTTCCCAGAAATTTTAATAAAGGTAGATAGCAGTAGGCCTACCTGAATCTAGGCAGTAGTTGCAATTAAGGATGATTTTGCCCCCACAGGGGACATTTATCAGTGTTTGGAGACATCTTGGATTGTCACAGCTGTGGAGAGTGTTGCTGACACCTGATTGATAGAATCCAGGGATTAATCCTATAATGCATTACACAGCTCCCCACAACAGAGAATTATCTGAACTGAAACGTTAGTAGTGTTGAGATTGAGAAACTCTGATTGAACTAGATAAATATTTAATAGATTAGGTACCTGGGGACACATTGGACCTATTCTGTGTATATTTCAGGGCTCCTGGCCTATACAGAAGATGAGACATAAGCATTAAACCAGTAGAACTAAATGGGGGAAAGTGAACCACTTGGTTGAGATGAAGAGTGCACTTCTGGGGCAGCCTTGTGGTGATGTGATACAATAAAGTATTTTGACAGGGGAGTAGGGGGGCCTCTTCATATGCAAAGCATGGGAACAGGCTCCCTGAGCTAAATCGTAGTTTCTTCCTTAATGTATCTGTAGACAGGGATGATCGTTCTTTTGGCCGAGATAGAAATCGGGATTCTGACAAAACAGACACGGACTGGAGAGCCCGTCCTGCCACAGACAGCTTTGATGACTACCCGCCTAGAAGAGGTGATGATAGCTTTGGAGACAGTAAGTGCATTCTTACCAAACATAAAGTTTTTGGTGTGGGGGGGAGCTGCTGTTTGGTAATAGGACAGGTGTATTAATATAGATGATAGATGATAACAGCGGATAGAAAGAAGGAGCAGTAGGTGGTGGGAAAAAATTTTGGTAATACCCAATATAATTGATACGTGCAGAAAAAGGAATTTCATAAATTCTTAATTTTTTTTTAAAAACCTTATCAAACAGAGTAGAAGGGACATTTCTCTTTTGAAGGCAACTGTTGATAAAGAAACCCAATAGATTCTACAAAGTAAGGTACTTGAACTAACAAAAATTCTGCAAGATTGCCGGGTTAAGTGCAGTACACAAAAATTACGGTACTAGTGGCAAACAGTCTAAGTGTAATTTTTTTAAGATAACAGAAAATCCATTCACTTTCAAAAATACTTAATGTCCCTATGTACCCAGTACTGTTGTAAGCTCAGGGTACAGTAATGAACAAAACAGACAGTCCTGTCCCCGTTGCACATTCTTTGGGGGAGAGAGACAGAGTACAGATAAATAAAATGTAATTTAGAGAAAGGAAATAGAGAATGTCATGGGGTAGGAGTTGAGGTGTATTACAACATTTACATACACCACCTAAATCCAACAAAAGTTTTGTTGAAACATGGGGAAAATTATGCAACTTTATTGAAATAAATGAAGAAAAACTCAACACTAGTTATTTTTTAAATGGAAAGAACCTACTATTCAGTAAAGAAATGACCTTCAATAGTGGAGTGTCCATGTAATTGAATACTTTATAGCATGATATACATGTCACAAGGATAAAATTCAAAACCTGTTACGTTGAGGGAGCGAAATGTGAAAAATTTGAAAACCATCATACAGTTTAATAACTAAGTAGTAGAAATGTATGCATAGTAATATAATAACCACCCTCAAAGATAAAGGATACCGATCAGGGGGAATCCTTTTGCTACATCTGTTACATACTACAAACTTAAAAACAAACATGGCATAATATTGATATCCTCTAATCCTAAGAAACTAAGGTTCCTAAGTCTGTTATAATCGCTCCTGTACTTCCCTGTATGTGCAAATGCTTTGTAAGTCAAAATAAATGGAAAGAACAACATACATTCACAAAATTCGGTGGCACACCTATTGAGCTCTGTACCAGATACAGTTGAGGAAGCAGTGATAAATGTTTGAAGAGAGTCCTCCTCAGCCTAGTAAGATGTAGGAGAAGGAAGAAGGGATCAACTTGTAAATCTGACTTTCCAACCTGACATTTTAAGAATTACCATAAGTACTTGACTTCAGCATTTACGCAAGGAGTTCTGTTGTTAACAGGAAGAAATGGCTCTTGAAAGAAAAAGCAGATAGACCAAGGATCCTGTTTTGAATCAAGAGACATGACTATTTTCTCACCTGAAACCTTGAATTTAGAGCAAGAAGGATGGATAACAAAGTGAGTGTGCTGTTATCCAGAGCCGCCTGGTTTGTAAGACTAGGTGATGGCCCCAAAGTCAGCTACACCAGCCTGCTAGAGGTTCCAGACCATACCAAGAGATTAGAGACTCCTTTCCCAAGCATTGGACCCATGAAAGGAGACCAGGGCTCGGGAGGCTGACTATACTAAGTATTACCTAAAATCTCAACAAACACTTGTATATTTCCTGGCTAACTGTCTTAGTAATTATATACTTAACTGCCTTCACTGCAGATCTATGTGTTCTTTGCAAGTCCAAACTTACTATCATTTTAATATTCACTAAAAAAAATCAGGTTTAGAGTTTGCCTCTTCAGAAATTCAAAAGATACTTCAGAATAAACATGGCAGATTTTTTTATATTTGACTTTTATTTTAGATTCTGTCCTGTGTATAATTGTTTTACTGACATAAGCATGTCCTTTATAAATTTAAACTACCAGAGAATGGATGAATGTTCCTATAGACAAAATGATGTTTCCAAATTAAATCATTGTTTAAAAGGAAGCAGTCAAAGAAATAAGATCCCTGTCTGGCCTGCACACATACATTATTAAGCTCAAAATGGATGCACAGTTTTATTTGATTAGGAGGTTCGTGTTTAGAAATGGAGATTTTTCATATAAAAATCTGGGTTCCTAGGTTCTCTCTGAATATGGGAAGATCTAGCAAATCAGCCAAAGCTAAATAGCCACTGCCTGCCTTTTATAAATGACTTAATACTGTCTAGTTTGCCACCTGAGCTACTACATTCCTTTATACAAATTTCTGGCATTTAGGGGCCTCTGATACTGACATTCATGTGTGTGTAAATTACAGTTTATGGCATACTTCTTCAATTGTCTTCTAAATACATTGAGTAAATACATTTCCCATTCTTTTTTTTAATGGATACTTCCTAATTAATCTGTAGCTCCTGCACTCTCAGCAGTTTCAATACTGTAAACAACGTTGTAATAAACCTCCTTGTAAATGTTTCTTTATGATATGTCCAGTTATTTCCTCAGGATAAATTCCTAGAAATTGAATTGTTGGCCCAGAGGGTATACATAATGTAAAACCTTTTAATGCACAGTTATGAAACAACTTTCAGAGGAGTTATACTACTTTTAACTCATCAACATTGTAGGAATTGACTTATTCCCCTAAACTTTGCCAACACAAGAGGTATCGTTTATTTTAATCTTTCCCATTTTGTTAATGGAAAACATACTATTTAGAGTCTTAATAGTCAATGAACTCATTGTGTGTTGTGTATATTCTCATTTTGTTTGCCTTCAGGTTTGTGATATGTGTATTTTCCCATGCCTGTTAAGTCCTCTGATTAATGCTTCAGTACTGAGTATGGATCCAACTATATTTTCTTCTAGTATTTGCTGTGCTTACTATTTTTTTAGTGTTTAAATAAGTCTTGGAAACTAATTATAGGATATATAGAGATTTTTCTTTACCCTAACTCCTTTTTAAATTGTTAACTTAGCAACATTTATTGGATCACTAGAGAAAATTTTTTCATCAAATACCTAGAAAATGTAGTTGAATACAGATTCTTCTGCTTGGATGTAATGTCATTTTTTAATTAAAACAGGCAGAGCAGTGATTAGAATGATGTTACCTGTTTCTTTTCTCTCTAGAGTATCGAGATCGTTATGATTCAGACCGGTATCGGGACGGGTATCGGGATGGCCCACGCCGAGATATGGATCGATACGGGGGCAGGGATCGCTATGATGACCGAGGCAGCAGAGACTATGACAGAGGTCATTGTAAAACACAAATAAGTTAAATTGCTTTCTTTCAAGAACTCCTTTCTTGCCTTTTCTTCCCTCCAGTGTAATGATCACAATTTGGGATGTATTTACAGGCTATGATTCCAGGATAGGCAGCGGCAGAAGAGCATTTGGTAGTGGGTACCGTAGGGATGATGACTACAGAGGAGGCGGCGACCGCTATGAAGACAGATATGACAGGCGAGATGATCGGTCATGGAGCTCCAGAGATGATTACTCTCGGGATGATTATAGGCGTGATGATAGAGGTAATCGTCATCTTTTGCTTAGTGGCACAAACAACCGTGGTGGACACATAACAGAAATTACACCTATAAAGAATGCAGCAGAGCATACTACAAAGAGCATTGGAAAAGGGTTATTACTTAATGGAAATAGAGCAAAGTCCAGTTTTTCAAACCTGCCTTATGAGCATATAGAGTTTACAGTTAAAATGTGTTGAATAAAGTAGAAAGGGAAGACAACATTTGCCAGACGTTCTTATGGTGTGATCTCATTTAATAAGCTACACCTAAAATAGGTGGTATTAGCCCCATTTTTCAAGTGAGGGCATTAAGAATCAAATACAAATACAGTCTGACAGCCAGGAATTGGCACTGTGGGATTAAAAAACAAGGTTTGATTTCAGTGCCATTATACCACAGTAACTGATGTTTCTTAATTAATGGTGAGATGCCAGTACACCCATTTAAAATCATGCCCCTATGTTAACTGCATTTATAATAAAACATTACAAATCTCATCTCTCAAAAAGTATTAGTAAATGGCTACCGTTTGTATTCTGACTTAGTGATGGCATCAAAAAAGATATCTGGCCCAGATAATTTTTTTCTTTAATTATCTTTAGACATAAACCTAGCCTTTTAACAACACTTTGGTAGCCCTACTCTTGTGCCAGGTGCTTTCTGTACATCATCTCCTATAATCCCCGAGTAAAGTAGACCTGAACACTAGTAAAACACATTGAGGTAATGAGTCATTGCCACATACTGAAGTTCTGCAGTAAAGTCTTTCCTTCTCCCTCAAAACAAAAACAATGTTTTTTAAAAACATTAACCAAAAAAAAAATAGTTTCGTTTTTTACAAAACTTTCAATTCATTTTTAAATGCATTGCTGTTATCTATTTCTATGCAAGAAAGCTAGAAATAATATTTAACATTTGTTGAGCATTTACTCTCCACCAACAATGGGCTGAGTGTGCAGACAGGTGTTATATAATCCTAAAATTCTGTCTGGTATAGATAGGTACACTTACCTCCACTTAATTCGTTTATCAGTTTGTCTTTACCTTTTCCTCTCACATGCCCTTCTTGCCTCTCCCAGTAGCTGCACACTTGATTTTTTTTCCTGGTGGCTTACCCCCAAGTCCCTTTAAGATCTGCCCCCTTGTCTCCAGAGTCACTGTCACTGTCTTTGTTCAGACTTCACGGCTATACCACATTACTAACAGATTTCCTGCCTTGTTCCATTCTGCACACTTGCCCAATTGTCTTCTGGAACAAGATGTTAACTAGATTATTCTCCTTTTTAAAACCTCCCTAGTCTCTCCATCGCCTGAAAGATAGCTTTTTTTTTTTTCATTAAAGTATTCTTGATATGCAATCTTACATTGGTTTCAGGTGTACAGAACAGTGGTTCAGTAGTTACCCACATTATCAAATCCTCACCCTCTCTAGTGTAGTTACTGTCTATGTAGAAAGATTTTACTGAATCTCTGGCTGTACTACAATCCCCATGAACAGCCAACATTATGATTGAGAATTTTTGTGGCCCTTTATCACCCTCACCCTTACCCCAGCCTGTCCCAACCCCTCCTCCTTGGTAACCACTAGTCACTTCTCAGTGTCTTGAGTCTACTGCTGTTTTGTTCTTTCTGTTTTGCTTTGTTTTTATATTCAACAAATAAGTGAAATCATATGGGATTTGTCTTTCTCCACCTAGTTTGCTTCATAGAGCATAGTGCCCTCTAGATCCATCCATGCTGTTGCAAATGGGAGGATCTCTTTTCTTTTTATGGCTGAATAATACTCCATTGTGTATATGTACTACATCTTTATCCATTCATCTATTATGCACACTTAGGTTGCTTCCGTATCGTTGGCTATTGCAAATAGCGTGGCCATAAACACAAGGGTGCATATATCTTTTCAAATCAGGGCTTTTGTTTTCTTTGGGTAAATTCCTAGAAGTGGGATTACTGGAGCAAATGGTATTTCTATTGAAAGATACCCCCTTTGTCTGTACCTATTAATGTACAAGGGCCTTCACTGTTCTGCCTGAAGATTACCTCTTCACTGTGGTCTTTCATCCGTTTCACCTCTACCCTGTCAGGCACATTCTCAGTTTTCAAGACTCTTGGGTGGTCCCACTTTGAAGCCTGTATAGGCTTCCCCAAACACAAGTTAGTCCTAGTCTGAACACTTCTGTATGGATAAATCTGTTTTGTAGAACTTAATATACTATATATTTTTTTACTCTGATCCTCCCTCTAAATGGGACTGCTTGCAGGCAGGAATTAAACACCCCCCATCATACCCCTGGCCTTATTAGCACAGTATCTGAACTATG